GGACCTCTCCACACAGAAAAGATCCCCTTTGGTTCCCCTGTTCAAGTTAGTCCCCATGGATGGGAAATCGGTGGAGGACCCTAACAATTTCCCCGGAGCTCCGGGGATTATTGCTCTTATTAGGGACACAAGAAGGCATTTGAGGGTATGGTCTCATTTGTTTGAGGCTAAAGACGCCTTTCCAGAAATCAGAATGGCCCAGTTGCCCCCCCCCCGAATTAAGCAAATTAACCAGATTTTGTTCAGGGAGGGTCCCGGTACTTCTCCACCCTTCATTATATAGGGCGTTAAAACTAACGTACCGCACGGACGTTGGCGGGATTGTCCTGGATAGTCACATGACGACGGAGTTGGGGTCAGGGAGCCTGGGACAATCCGTTGGGGTCCTGACTGCCGCAGATTTCCGTTCAGTCTGTGATTAGAGGAAGCAAACTTAAAAAAATGTTTCTCAAGTTAGCTTGTTTCAATGTGAGGGGCTTGAGGGATCGGAGTAAGGCTGCACACCCACTTCGTGATCTCCTGTTCTTCGGTGTAGATGTAGCTGCGATCCAGGAAACACACTTTGTTTGCTAAGTTGATGCTCGTGTGCTGTCTAGCGACTTTGTTGTCTATTCAGCATACGGGGACCAGCAGGCCAGAGGTGTTTCCTTGCTGGTTAAACGTACCCTAGGTGCGAGGGTGGACCTTGTCCACGTCGATGCGGTTGATCGTGGATGATATTGCCGTGAACACCGTTCGTTGCGGGTCGTTGCGGTTTATGCGCCCACCGACTCAACGGAGCGTCGCTCGTTTTATCGTCAGTTGGGGCTGTTCCTGGTGGATTCGTCGCGCTTAGTTTTAGTGGGGGACTGGAATGCTATCCTGGACCCCGATATAGACAAGGGGCGGTGGACTAGCGGGAGGTCATTGGGGGATCGTAGTTTGGTCTCGTCAATAGATACCGGATTGATCACCCAGAATGGGAGATGTGAACGTGGGCACGTAAGTGGTCGTCTACCGGGTAGCCACCTACCTGGATAGAATATTAGTGAGAAGGGCCGATATAGACTTATTAGATTGTCCCACGTTCCACTGGTTAGGTTATTCGTCTCTGTCCGGATAGCGTTAGGTTCTAGGTCTAGAATGGCCTGACACTGGAAGTTCAATCTGTTTTTACTGGACAGGCGGGACTTCCAGCAACAGATAATTAGACTAGTGCAGCGGGAACTAGTGGGGTGGTTATTGGGAATAGGTAGTGGGAGAGGCTTAAGGATAGGATTAGGTCGTTCACCACTGAATATAGCCAGCAGCTCACACTAGATAAGGCTAATAAGGTGAAGATGCTTAAAGGCTGGGAGGATCCCCTAGAGATAAGTTTACCTAGGCGATCGACTAGCGAGCGCTATAAGGGTCAGGTAGTTAGGCATAGGTTAAAAAAGATGTCTAACCAAGCTGTGAACATAGGCACAGAATTGCACAAGGAAGAGAACCGTCGAGATTCCGATCGTTACATTCGTGAGGTCAAAACCCCAGAAGGGCGTACTCTGAGGTCGACTGACAATATGTGCGAGGCATTTCGGCGGCATTTCGATTTACCAAGGAGCTTGGTCTCAGTGGCGATGAGTTTCACAGCTGTTTGGATGACTTTCCTCAGCTTGCGCCGACTGAAGTGGCTAGCTGCGAGGGTGAGTCACGGAAGATGAAGTCTACTTGGCATTGAAGAGGTTTGGCAGTGGCAAATCTCCGGAACTTGATAGTTTACCCTATGAATTGTACTTGAGGTTGTCGCACATCTTTGTGCCGATTTTGACACGGATCACCAGGGGTGTGGTCACGCCGTTGAAAAAGGGCAAGGATAGAGAGCGGGAATTAGATCATTACAGGCCCATAACTCTGCTAAACACAGTGTTAAAGATTTTGGCCAAGATCCTGATGGAGCGTTTGCAGTCAGTTGCCGAGAGTCTGTTGGGACCCGATCAGACGTGTGCTGTGAGGGGCCGAACAATTCAGAGCAACCTGCATCTGTTCCGCACGATCCTAGAGGGAACTTATGAGGCCGCGCCGATCATTTTGGATCAGTCCAAGGCATTTGATAGGGTCGATAATCAGTACCTAGCTGCTGTCTTGCAGGCCGGCAGATTCCAACCCGACTTCTGCAAGTGGATTGGCCTCCTGTATCGTTCCCCCAATGCTTTGGTACAGGTGAACGGGAAACTTTCGTACACGTTTGCGCTGACTCGGTCGGTTCGCCAGGGTTGCCCACTGTCGCCCCTACTTTGCACTTTGGCGTTAGAGCCTCACCTTCGCCGGCTAAGGGACGGGGCGAGCAGTTTAGCCCTACGTGGAATCGCTGTCCCTGGTGGAGATCGAGCCAAGGTTTCCGCGTACGCCGATGACGCATCCATTTTTGTGTCGTGTCGCACTGACATTGAGGTGTTACAGAAGACACTTGGACGGTACGAAAAGGTGACGGGGGGCAAGATTAATCGCAACAAGTCTTCTTGCTTGCGGTTAGGTTTCTGGAAGGGGGTCGATCTTCGGGGGCCATTTGACTGGACGGCGGTCCTGTCTGCATTCTTGGAGTCTGGTTTGGACCCGACCTTCAGCTGGAGAAAAATTGGTCAGAAGTACAGGCAAAATTCGGAGCGTCTGTCACGACTTGGCTTCGGAGGAGGTTGTCTTTAAAGGGTATAGCTGAGGCGTGTGCCACTTACGTCTTTCCTCTTATCCTTTACCACTTGGCTGTACTTCCTTTTGTAAGGACCATCGGAAGCGTTTGAGCGCTTGTTGTTTACCCTCTTGTTGGGTGGTCGCAAGCAGAAGGTCCGCAAAGAATGCTGTGTCCAGCGTCCTGGGGGGTTGGGAAGGCCACACTTGGTGAGTCACCGACACGCCTCGAGGTTGGCTTTCCTACGCTGCGTTTTGACTGAGGATTCGATTTTGGAGAGAGGTGTTAGGGACGCCTTCCCTGGCCTATCTATTACTCTTCCAATTTCCTGGGCTAAGCGCCGTCGTCGGGAAACTGTCGACTTTCCTCAGCGAGTGTCGAGCGCCCTTGAAGGCCTTTCCTCAGTCCAGTGACATTTCACGGCCTCGAAAGATCTTGTATCGTGAATTAGTGGAGAGGGTCGCAAAGGATCCTCTCTGTGGGCGGTTTGGCTTGTTGACCGAGTTGCGCTCTTTCTGGACTTGGGCAACAGCGGCGAATTACCTCAGTAACGCTGATTTCGCTTACCTGGTGATTGATTCGGAACGTGTTATGTCTCAATGACAGGATATTCAGATGGGGCTGGGCGGATTTGCCCGACTGTCATCGGTGTGACATTGGCTTAGAAGAAACGGTTTCACACGGCTTCTACTATTGTCCTCAGGTGCGCCCTTTCTGGGATTATGTCGGTGACTTGACGGCTTGTATCGCTCCCAATGTTCTCGTGCTCATTGCTCTTGCATACGTGTGCGATAATGTGTCGACACCGTATTCTGGGGGAGAAACGGACGATGTTTCTGACGTTGCTATCCGTGGTGCGAATGGTGATTTGGACGACGCGGATGGAGGGAATCTTGCGATCCGAACGTTATTCTCATCAGGCTCTGGTCAGATTCTTTCAGCACCAGCTGAAAGTGAAGATCAGAACTGATCGAAGGCGTTTGATATCGACAGATTTCAGCGAAAGGGGTGGGGTGAAAGTAGCGAGCTTGGTTTGTAAGAAAGGGGCTAACATTGAGTTCCTTTTTTTAAGTCCACTTGGTCACAATGGGGCAGTTTCCTGTGATCCCTCTCCTGGTTGAGCTAGACACGATTGGTTTTTCCTAGTTAATGTGAATAAGTTTTGCTCCTGGCCTTTTCCCGGCACTCTCTTTTGTTAGGATCCATGTCGAGATTCCCAACCTCCTCAGTTTGTTTTTGGTCCCCTTTTTCATCTTGGCTGGATCAGATTTTAATTTTTCCCATTCCGTCATTTATTTTTACCCTTCCCATTCCATTAGTGAGTGTGCTACTTGATTATGTCTATTGGCAGAATACAGCAGCCATTCTGATTATTTTGAAGGGTGGACAGGTCTTACTAACATCAGTTTTGTTTTACCTTCTTTTTGGTTTAATTTTAGTTCGTTTCCGGAGTTTATTCCCTCCCCCTCATTTCATGTAGTCATTTTAAGATTTTTATATCATGGGATGATTTGTAGGTTTCCCCTACGAATATATGGTATTGCGGTATATGTAGGATTGAATGGTGATGAATGTGTTATTGTGGTAAATGGGGCAATTGTATTGGATAAATGGATCATGATCGTGATTAATTAGGACTGGGATAGTAAGCGAAGACCAGCTTCCTTCCACTTCCCCTTCGGCCATGTGCCACAATTATTGTATATTTTACATAATAATTAAACAGTTGAATAAAGCTTTCTTAAAGCCTATACCTGCGTACTTTTGTCATTACAGAAATGTAAAGAAAAAGTAAAAAACGAAAAAGCAAAAGTGAAATAAAACGAACTAATGAATAATTAAGAGATAAAAGAAATGAAAGAACAACTGAAACTAATGGCAATAAAAGAAATAAAAACAATAAGCAAACAGGTATTAAATGGAAAGAAAATATAGGAAAATATAAATGACACGGATAGAAAAAACAACAAAAGCGTTAACATAGTTAAAGGAAAAGTAAGAAGGAACGAAAGAAAAAATAAAAAAACAAAAACGAATAAACAAATCTGAAAAGGAAAGAAAGAATGGACGAACAAAAAGGAAATGAAAAAGTGACCGAATTATTTTAAAAGTGAAAAGAAAAGGAAGAACAAAGGAGAATGAAATAAAAACAAAGAACAATCAAATATGAAATGAAGAGAACGAATGAAAACGAGGCAAAATAAAGAAACGAAAAGAAATAATGAGAAAAAATGAATGAAAATACATTCCTGAATGTTACCTGGATCGACAAGCACCTGATGAAGGTTGGGAAGCATGACGTTCAAAATGTTGTGATAGCAACAATAAGGATGAGAAGAACAATAGCCCTCCCCTAGTAATGAATGGAAAGAATTAACAGATGTGGGGAAAAGAAGAACAGAAATGAAAGATAGAACAAACAAAAATGTGAAATAAAAATTCTAACAGAATTAAAAAATGAAAAGAAAGAATAAACCAAGGAGAAATAAAAAGAAAAATAACAAACAAACATGAACAAGCAAAAACAAAATAAAAAAACTAAGAAACAAAAGTGAAAGGAAGACCAGTAAAACCAAATGGAAATGAAAGGAAAGAACGAACGAGCAAGAATGAATCTAAGAGAACGTACGGACAAAAATGGACAGAAAAGAGAAGAGAGAGAAATACACTGAAGGGTAAAGAAAGAAAGAAAGAACTGAAAAAGAAAAGGACGATAAAATGAATAAGCCCCGCCCCCCCAAGAAATGTAAAGGAAGAACAAACAAGAAGTTAAATGGAATCAAAGTACAAAGAAAAATGAAAAGAAAACAGATGAACGAAGTAACAAAAGTGAAATGGAACTCACTCACACAAATGCATTGGGTCCTTGCAAAAATGTAATTTATGATTAATCGATTTCATTAAATTTATCAATAATTATACAGGAGATCTAAAAGTATATATTAGGGACGAAAACTCATAATTCTGTTACTGTTGTATATTTAATTAGAACTTAATTTTTTGCTCTATCTACAAAATACAACGTTTACTAATGACATTTTCATTTTCTTATTTTTTTATTCAACTCATTTTTATATCAATACATTCATCAAGTTTTAAATGTTTGCTTAGAGTAATTTTTGTTTTATCTTTCTTGGTGCTTTAAAACAAATTTTAACTTTTTTTTTTTTAACCCTCAATCTCAACTACTCAGCTCACCAAGCCAAATAATATATAATTATCAAATTTGAACGAACCAGTTAAAAAATAACTGATAAAAGGGTATAAATCATTTAATTAAATCAAATATAGATTTTCTCATATTGTGTACACACACACATTTAACATTTTGTTTGTCAAAGGATCTTGTCACAGTTCTGCGGTTGCAAGGGGAGTTAAACATAAAACAATTAAAAGAGTTATCTCCCTTACATGAAAAACATTGCTATATTTTTCCGATTATTTTCTTAATCTTTCTCATAAACATTACATATTTTCATTTGATAGTTTATTCAACTTTCGTTAGGTGTAGCTTATTGCAGTGAGAATTTAGATCTTATGCAAACCAAGATGATGACAAAATTACAATTACTACAACAAGTTATTGTTAATTCAGTAACTAAGATAAATATTTTCATTAATAATTTTATAAACATTTACTAAGAGACTTATTTGATTTTGATAATATTTAATTACTGATTCTCAAAGTACAAATCAAATAGGTCTTACTTTTAAATAATTATTCAACAATGTAAAGATACTGTTCTGTGTAAAATTGATAGTTTCATATTAACCTAGTAAAATGTAGTAAATGAATGTCTTCTGCAGTTGTAAAACAACCAACGCATAAAAAGTAGTATTGTATAGTATATAGTATAGTCATGGTCTTTTTTTTTTTTACTGAATTGGACAGTGGCGTAAATGCTTTAAGATATTTTCTTTTTGCTTTAATAGGATGGGGAGATTGTCAGATTGTTTCAATAATGCAATTCTCCAATGATGACCCAATTAAAATTATTTCCTTATTATTGCTTTATAGTAAAACACTTGCACACGAGAAGTTTTCGGATCTGTCAAGAAGAGAATGATTTCGAGCCAGGAAATATACATGTTATTTTATATAATCACTTCCCAGTTTAACACACTTGCTTTATTATTTCTTAAGTTTAACGACGCCAAAAAGATCTATTGTTTGATTTTTGAAATATTGTTTTGTTATCACTTTGGAATCATACAAAAATTTCGTCAATGTTTTTATTTCAAAGCTTCCTTTAATTCGCACAGAATGTTCGAGTCGTATTCTACACTAACAGTTTCGCCCTTTTTGGACATAGTCATCAAAATACTTTTCTTCAAATGACCGTAACCATAACCTTTTCGGATGATTTTTGGGCTTTGAATTTTATCGGAGATAACCTGAATGTTGCACTAACTGTTATTTGGTTTCGAAATTATAGTACTGTAATCATGTAGATTCAACATGAAGGTGTCCACTCAATATCGCTTCTAGTGGACCTTCAAATATTTTGGCATCAACATGGTTGACAGGTTTTGCAGGACCAAGTGTGTATGAATTATAAATTCAATGCGTTCTCGGTGTCCCATTCATTTGCTCGAGATACGTCGATTGGCCAAAATTAGGTCATAAACGTGATCAATATTTTCAGCAGTTGACACCATTGAATGCTCCTACTTTGTGCTTACCTTAGCTCTCAAAATCACTAGTATGAAGGCTGGTAGACGGCATTTTTGCACTTATGTACGACAGACACTTGTCACTAAATGCTTGCGTCATATAGCCATGGAGTTTTCTTCTGCCAGAATTGAAACTTCATGACGACCAGGTGTTCAACACTTGATAATTCCACAATTTCTGTTGGCACGATCAGAAAATCTTTTAAAAATATCTTTAAAAAATTAAAAATAAGTGTTAGGATCTTGAAAATTGGAACTTTACAAAATATAAAAGAGCATTCTTTCTAACTGCAGCGATGAAACAATGAAAAGAAAATTTTGGAGATTAGGTCGAGTCGAAAACTTTTCAGCACAACCAAGTAATGCTCGTGCAAATGACGGGATTATTTACGCATGAATCAATGTTTTTGCCTTGGATCAGAGTGTAGTATCTGTGTGCTCTTTGAAACGTGCTAACACTTCAATATATACCATGCCTGCTCCATATATAAAATATAATACTACCTTTGATAGCATAGGGTTTTAAATATAGTGATATAACCACCATTTACAAGTAGTTGTAACAAGCGATATTAATTTGATTATAACTGCAGTAGCAAGTGCATCTTGTTTACACCATCGAAAACAATGGATGAAAAAGTCCAAAATCCAAATTTAAGTAACCTGCTGATGTGTACTAATCTTGATCACACTCTTTCCCTGTCTTTTTGTGCAGGAGAAGAAATTTTATCCCTTGTTTCTTGATTAGAATTAGCTTCCCTGTTCCTTCTAAAGTCTTCTAAAAGTGCTAAACTTTATTCCATTAAACAAAACTGAACTACAAAAGCAAAATAGGAATTACAAGTTAAATAGCCAACTGGGGCGAGTCCGTTACTTGCGCATAATAAGCATAGGATATTACTACTACCACGGACATTATCGTTTTGCTTGGGGTGAAATTAATATATATATATATATATATATATATATATATATATATATATATATATATATATAGAGAGAGAGAGATAGATATATATGAATGAATGAATGAATGAATGAATGAAAGAAATGCTCTTTAGATTATATATCATCACTGACAACAACAGATTTTAAAGTGACTCATTATTGATAGAATGTGAGAATATAGAAATTTAGAACAACTAATTGTGACGGTTACACACCTGGCCCAGGGTCGGATCCTTTGGTTACGGCGCCAACGGTGACGTCGCTCCTCCTGGTCGCTCCTCCTGGGTCCAAGCGTGCCGCTCCAACCCCTTGGTCAGATGATCACCAGCCTCGCCTTTCCCGACTCGCTTCCAATACCTGGTCACTAAAGCAACTGTACCGATCTCCGGTCTGTCTACCCACGCTGTGTTTAGATCTTAGACAGACGGGACCAGCAGGGATTGGGGCCGATACAAGTTGAGTCCGACGGGGGTGGCAAAACACAAATAAAAGAGAAAATAAACTCACGAGACAAAAAGATTGCTGATGAAAAAAAAGGTAACAACCCTTTATATCTTAATGTCCGTTACATAAAAACAAAATTGTTCTCAATTCCCGACCCGCTCTGTGGACTATGGCACCAAGCTTCTATCACACAACCTAAAGATTTCGAATTGCCTACTCTTTAGAATTGTGTATGTCGGAGTGTGGTTTGGTTCGACACTGGGGCTAATTTCTATCGATCATTCGCAGTTGATTCTTCTCTTCGACTTGAGTTGTATTTCTTCTCCTTCGTCTACTTAGGCTGGAAGTTCTCTTGTCTTCGACTTGGGCTGGAAGGATCTCTTGCCGCAACTCAGCCGCAACTCTCTGTCGTCCGAGGTGATCTCTTCTCGCTGCCGTCCGGGGCTGAACTCTTCTGTCTTCGACTTGGGCTGGAAGGATTTCTTGTCTGAGGATTCTTTTGCCCGCAAAGGGGCGAGTGAATCGGGCCTGATGCCCGCGTTCAGGCTCTATCCCTGCCCGCGGTCCAGCTGCAACTCTCAACTCCAACTCCAACTGATTTCTGTCGACTGGGGTCCTGCTTTTATTGACGCCGCAACAAACTGGGGTGGGTCTGTCGGCGTCAGGGTTTTCTCGATAACTCCAAAAGTCGCATTATTTTTGATTTCCCATTATCGCTATTGTTTTCACCCCTACTTCCTCACAGTGCCCTTTGTGGGGAGGCGCACACCCATCTCTCTTAGTCTCTCGTATGTCAGGTGACCGTTTTTCGACCAATGGTTCCTGATCGGGCATTTCTTTCTCTTCTTTTCTGCAGATCACGTGACCGTTTCCGACCAATTGTTATTGATCGAGCATCCTTTCTCCTCCTTTCGGGCGTGGTTACATCGTTCTTGTTTTTAAAAAACAAAATCCAATTTTTCCTTTTCTGCACGTACGAAAAATGACAATGTTGGCTTTCTCTCACCTGGGCTCTGTCAACCAGCCCGCCGCTAATTAGTTGTGACTTCAGGAAAGAATATTGTCGCCATCTGTGATCTGAGACAATCGTTTTTTTTTCACCTCTTGTTTTTTGTCAGACCCGGCAGTCAGAAAATCTTAATTATCTACATTGAAAATGTTCCCACTTTATTATCGTAGGTTTCTAATTCTTAATAGGTCAGGATCTGTATATAGTTCCACCGGTCACTCCCCTCAACCCAAAAACACCTTTTCTCTGATTAAGATTTCGCTCTTAAAATTTCCCCTTACTCCAAATTGATAATGGGTCTTTCTACGCAAAAGTAGGTCAGATGTTTTGACCGATATCTGGTTTTCATCAAGCGGCCCGTTTTGATATCATGTCTTTTCCCTTTCTTTCTTCTTATTATTTCTAATTCTATTCTTCCAATTGTCTTTAAAAAATTCGGCCACACACAGGCCAAGATATCTTTCTGACACTTATCTTCGCTTATGACTGGGTCATGCATCATCCAACTCTCTTTCTTTCTTTTTTCTTCTTCCCTTAGGATCGTCCAAGTACAATCTTAGTGAATTATTTTCAACTCAATTATTTTCCGTTAAAAAAAAAAAAAAATTAACAACCTGTTTAATAAACCGAGAAAAAAAAATTAAATCATATTTCTATGAATATTTCTAATAATGCAAGGTGCCACATAATAATCCCTACCTTATAGGGTGTTTCATTGGAATTCACATCTCGGACGTTAGTCTTGCCGACTTTCTTTTGAACCCATACTGCGGAAATGTCTATTTTTTAAAAACTTTATTGGTCTTTCATTACAGTCAACAACCACAGGTGTCTGTCCCGACATCTTTCATTACAGACCATATACTCAAGAATCTATTTTGCCGGCTTTCATTACCCGCTTTCATTGCACCTCATATAACCGGAAGTATGTCTTACTGCTTTTCATTCGTTATCTTGTATTGGTGCTCACAATGTCTATCATTAGAACCTACATCTTTCATTACAGTTCATATACTGTTATGGTACGATCCACCTAATTTACATAGTGGAGTACCGACCATAGAAATATGGGTTGGTACCGGGAAGGAACAAGAGATCCAATCCAGAGACTCTGCCCGACTGCGATTAAGTCAACCCATTCTACAGGAACAGTCTTCCCAAGAATATACCAAAACTAATTGTAAATATTGTGTACCTTTTCCTTGTTTCAATACATTTTGTTTACGTACATTTTGTGTTGTATTGTTATTATTCCATGCTTATCCAAGCTTCAACATATACACAGAAAACTTTCGTTGAGACACTCAATGCAGGAATCTGTTTTGTCATCTTGTATTGTGGTCCACATACCAGGATGCTGTTTAACCGCCTTAAATTAGATGTCACATTACCAGGACTTTTCTTGTCATCTTTCATTGCAGCCCATATACCCGGAAGACTGACCTGATATATCGTATGTGCCTTTCTGAATCTTCATTGGAGCATTTGTAGAATCTATAATGTAGCAATCTGCTTGTCACCTTTTATTGGTGCCCATATCCCAGAAGTCTATCTTTCCGACTTTCACCCAAACCCATATACTAAGGTATCTGTTTTGCTGTTTTTATTGCTGTATACATTCCGGGAGTCTGTTTTGTAGTTTTTCATTGGAATCTACATTTCAGGTGTTTGCGTTGTTATATTTTGCTGGTTCTCAAATCTCTTGGTGTTTGGTTTACCGTCTTTCTTAAGAGGCTGCTTCTCAGGTGTCTGTTTTAGAGTTGTTCATTGGAATACACACGGCGGGAATTTGTCTTGTCATTCTGGGACCCTGTTTTGCTGTCTTTTATTGTAGTTCACTTCCAGAATTTTGCCGGTTTTTATTGGATCCCAATCTACGAGAGTCTGTTTTGTCATCTTTTATCTGTGCATACATCACATGCGTCCATCTTGCCGTCTCTCGCTGGAATTCACTCAACGAATAGATTTTTCTTGCGTTTAAAATCCATTTGATCTCGAAGCGTGTGAATATTACATTTATTTAATATGTTAAAAATTTTATCAAAAGTTAACTGAAAATTAATTAATTTCAAAATGCTTCAAATTATTCCTTTTTAACGAAAATTTTGAAAAAATATTTGTAAGTAAGCAAAATTTGATAAACAAATAATTCTCAATATTGTGTGAAATCATAAAATCTGTCATCATAATTCCACTTGGATTAATGATAATAAAAATGAAAAAAGATGGAAGCTCTTTTCAAAAAACATGCAAACCTAAAACAAATCCCAGCAAAATATAAAAACGCAAACACCTGAAATGTAGATTCCAATGAAAGACTACAAAACAGACTCCCGGAATGTATACTGCAATAAAAACAGCAAAACAGACACCTTAGTATATGATTTTGGGTGAAAGTCAGAAAGATAGACTTCTGGGATATGGGCACCAATAAAAGATGGCAAGCAGATTGCTACATTATAGATTCCAGAAATGCATGATTAATTTTCAATAAAACATACAAGAGTAAAATGTTTATTAGATAAAAGTGTGTATGTTTTTCTACAATAAAACTACAATATCAAACCGAAAGAAAACATGAATATATCTTTTTATTTGAGAGACAGAGGAAAAAAGGCATTGGCTACTTCTGATTATATGACTAAAAATATTAAAAATTCCGAAAGGAAAGAACAAACTTCAAAAACTACTGATTATTGAATCAAACCTTTAACTGGATCTTTATTAAGAAAATTTTTTAATAATGGATCCGAATTCGAATGCTAAAATTGTAATTTTAGCAAATGTATTTCGGTTTCCGAAGGGCAATAAATTTTAGGGCTACTTAACCTAACAGGAAATCACGTTAATTTAAGAATTTCCAATTTTGGAATTATTAGTTGAGACAAGATTTTGAGTTTACACACACACACACACACACATTATATATATATATATATATATATATATAGAGTGAACATATAAGTCAACATTAGAGGCGACAGTCTGCTTCATGCTAGATTCAATCGTCAGGCCTGGCGATTGCATATAGCATGAAACAGACTGTCGCCTCAAAGTGTTGACTTCTATGTTCACTTTTATATTTACACACGCTCTATCTCTGATATTGAGCACTTTATCCCATAAATATAGCACATCTTAAGACTATATTTCTTCATATATATATATATATATATATATATATATATATATATATATATATATATATATATCCATTCAGGCTGTTCGTAATATTGAAAATGTGTAAATCATTTTCTTTACGTGCATTTTCCACTTGCGTTTCAAAACGGATTTTGGAAAATAGGTTCGAAACTAATTCCATTTTATTTCGATGAAATGAAGAGGCTTTATTTTGACTGATCATCATCAGTTGGGAATCAAAATTAAATGTAAAAAAAGTGTTTTTAACACAAAAACAATACATTTCATGATGAGAACTTAATGAATCCATCGTATGTTGAACATTTTACCCACTTTAAGTTTAAAGTACGGCGTTTAAAGCGTTTTTATGAAACTCTTTTCGAAAAAAAAATTGAAATTGAATATGCTATTATAGAAGTGAATAATATTGTTAAATTGAGCGCGTTGTAACAGAAAAAAAATACTACACTGCTATGAAATATAACCCATTTCTCTAAGTAACTTGTATGTAATCTAGCAGTGGACATTTGGTGAGTGGAGAGGAGTTTCTTATTACTCGAAAAAAAAAAAAAACTCTTGTAGACGGCGGCAACGCAATCAATAGAACCGCCGCTGTCAACTCTGTTTTGTTCGAGTGCTGTTCTGTCAAGCAGTTATTTTTTGCCGCCGGTTTGAGAAAATAACTCTTGCAACTGGATCCATCTTATAAACTGTTACGACACCGGCCAGGAATGTGGTAAATGGTGAGAAGAGAGGACAGAGGTGTAAGTCGAGAAACGAGGTTTCCTTCCTTCACCTTGGGATTCCTCGGTTCGTGCTTCGTTTCGAGTCGCTGAGAGGTTGACCAAAACAGTTGAACTGAAAATAGATGATACTTCCAGGCAAAAGAAAAATCTTCAAATTTCGTCAGTAAAATAAGATAAAATCACCTTTGACTTACACACAAACACACTTTTTCTCTCACACATAGGCGCACAAAATGCAATGAAATTTATGATTTGCTAAGAGGAATTTTTGAAGCTCAGCGTTTTAATAGATAATTCTACTATCTTGAGTGTCTCTTTGGGCTTGTTTGAACATTAGTATAAAAATGCGAAGGATGAGTAAGTATAATAAAAATTCATGGAAATTGTTGCAATCTAGGGAAGGTTACTGAATAGAATAATCACACGAAGGTTGGTAATGAACAATAATACTTAGGACAAGAACAACATATATAAGATTCGCCAGCGGCTCCTTGAAGTAGTAGTCAACTGCTAAAAGTGAGAAAGTGAATTTCACAATGAATCTCCAACTGCAGGATATCTACCAACCGACTCACGCAGTCAGATGTGGCACAAGGCAAAATTTAATGTGGGGTATCCGAGCCCGTACGCTCGGTCCAAAATTGCCATTAGATCCCGTATAAAACGGGGTCTGGTAGCTGTTTCCCAAGACGAGACTCTGCCCTTCGACGTAGCCTCCTTTGGGGACCTCTCTGTCCGGAGGCAGAGAGTTTAACCAGCACAGTTGGAGACGAATCTCAAACTTCAGCCTAACATACAATATTTACTACTGTATTTATGTGAATGGGAACATAACCGTTATCGTCCGTAGTTATACTACAACAGAAATATAATATTCAATTAAATTACAATGTTGAATAATTGAAATTAGCTTTGATGGCTTTGGTTTTTAAACTCTATCTTTCTATGACCAGTATCTCTTAAGGACGCGGGCAATTACTTTCTCCTTTATGAGTCGTCTTTTCAGTATTTGTTCGTGCATCCATTTGCTCAAACCTATTGAATTATTCGTTGTTTTCCTCTGCTTCTCTTGCTATCAATGTGTTCTCTGAGTATCAGTTTCTCCAAGCTTTCTTTTTCTCACTATGTGTCCCCAAAATTTAATCTATCTCTTTCTGATTTTGAGCAAGATTTCTTTGTATTGCGCCATAGGGATAGCCAAAGTGTTCTGTTTTGTGAATTAATCTCAGTATTTAATACCGGACGCACACGCCTGTAGTGTTCTTTTCTTACTTTCTTTTTCATTTGCCTATGTTGTATTCCGTCTCTTCTGCTGACTCCTCGGTATTTATAGTCCTCTTTTTGTTCCAGTTCCTTAATCTTTGTGACAAAATCTAGATCTATTGTGTTTCTGTAATTCTCCCTTTCTTGAATATTACTTTTTCACATTTATCTAATTCGAAATTCATACCGAGGACACCAGTAAAATATGTTACAGTATTGAGGATACCCTTAACAAACTCATTGTTGTCTTTGGCAAAGAGTTTGATATCATCCATGTAGAGTAAGTGATTAAACACTTTCGTTTTTGCTTTGTATCCAATTATTACTGTTTATTTCATGCGGAAGGGGGAATTAATGACAGACAGAAGAGAATGGGCGACAGGGAGTCTCCTTGAAAGATTCCTCGTCGGATATTCAAACAATTGGAAGTGGCAGTACCTTTGTGATTTAAGTATAATGTTCTAATTTTACAGTTCCATGCTATATTTAAGGAAATTTACTATCACCGAGGAGACTTTGTAAATTTCTAAAGCCTTAAGGATCCAAGAATGTGGCACGTTATCAAATGCTTTACGGTAACCTATCCAAGCTGTGTTGAGATTTCTACCTTTTTGCCTGCAATTCTCCAGTATCATTTTATTTATTAGTAGTTGATCTTGGCAATCTTATGAGCCACTTCAACATTCCTTCTGTTCCAAGCGAAGAATGTTGTTTTCATTGAGAAAAGAGTAAGTACAGTTCGTTAGGACAGACGTGTTCAATTTATATCTGGTGGACAGACGTGTTATTGGCCTATAATTTTTTGGATCATCTGTTTCACCCATTTTTGGTAGGAGATATGTAATACCTTCAGTGATCCATTCTGGAATTTCAATGGGGTTATTAATTAGCATTGATAAGAGTTTTATGGATTGATAATAGGTGATAGAGCCAAAAGTTTGGTACCTTGTCATTTTCTGGGGATTTCCATTTTGGGGATTTTGTTAGAGCCTCTCTAAAATTATTCTTGGTTATATTTTCCATTCTTGCACAGGTTTAGCCTTCATTCTTTCTTGTTATCAATCCACTCCGCATTGGGATTATATTCCTTCGGGCTGCTCCAAATATTCTCCCTAAGTTTTTGCACTTCTTCAGTAGATGGTGGTTTTTTGACTTCTATAATTGCTTTGCCAATTTCATTGTAAAAATTCCTTGAGGCCCGTTTGGAATATCTTATATTGTCTATAGGACTTACAACATTTTTCATATCGTCTTGTTCTCTGCGCCTCTATTATATTATTATTATTATTATTATTATTATTATTATTATTAGGGCAGGTTCCCGCCTGGACCAAAAAATAATTTTGTCATTTTAACTTATGCTAACAAATCTCATGTATTCCTCCTGTAAATTGCAGTTTCTCTTCAACTGAGATGTGTTCCTTTTATATCTGTCTTGACAAGTGTTGACGAAGCAGAAGACGCGGTGATCCGAGACATCAGTCTTACGAAGATTGCAACTGTTTCATAACATCTCTGACAATAAAAGGATTTTTTGCTGTTAAGGTTGTTGCCATCCTATAGATAAGGGGCCGTCATTTAAGGCTGAAGAGTCTCATTTAATGTCAACGAGCTCAATCTATTCTGCAGGTCGTCTTTGTTGCAATACTAATTTTTAGTATATCCGTTAAAAACCGATGGTTCCTTAAGTTTTAAAAAGAAAAAGTTTGAATACTTTGCGTTTTGGCCCCCGAAACACATTTCAAAAGAAAAAAAAACGTGATGATGCAATTAGAAATGAAATTAGTAAATCTCAATCTATGTCTAATCTAAATTTGAACGAGTCTAATTTAAGCGGTCAAAAGAGAAAACTAACAAAGAAGGATTGAGACAAAGAGAAACAGAAGAAAACGAAATATTTCATCAAATCTTACATATTCATTAATAAGGCTTCTGAGCTTACATAATTGTAGCTAACTCCATGAGATCGCTAAAAAAGAGCATAGCATGATGAAAAAGATACCAAACTTGACGAAAATAAAATTTTATCGTCTAAATGTTCATATTATTATTAAGAGGAAAGATTAAAGTATTTTGGGGGAATTTTTTTTTATCGTTCCTAGCACGTCCGAACTTTTCGTTAAAAATCTTGTTTTTTTTTTGAGTCATCAACATTGGCAGATAATCATGGCCTTTTTTTTCCATTTTATAAAAAAATTTAAAATCTCACTTTGAAATTCTTTTAAAAATCAATTATCATTTTTTCAAAACTTATTTTAATGTTTATTTAATGTTTATTTAAAATATTTTGAACCAAGCTTAACTTAGCTTCTGCGCCAAAAAGATGTAATTTGAAAATAAAACAAAGCAGGTCATAACCTTTCGCGTCACTTGACAGGTGACGAAAGACATTTTCATGACGTTTAGATAGCTTACGTGAGGATAATTCCTTCTACGGATGGAGAGAAGTGAAAGTATTTAGATTTAAGTGAACAAATTATTTACCTCGTTATTTTTAAAGAAAACTTTCAGCGTTCTATTTTTTTTGTACTTAGCTTTCACCTTTACGTTTACGATGCTTTATGGAAAATATATTATAAAGAAATTAAAAAATAAGACTGTTAAGAGTGAGATTAAATTTCATAAGAAAGGTATTTAATTAATTTATAGGTACCTTTCTTATGAAATTTTATCAGAAGCGTACATAAAATGCTATAATTTTATGTACATTTATTACATTTTACTATGTTATTTGTATTTCCATTCATTTTATTATTAATTTTGATATTTCATTTATGGAAAAATGTCTTAACTGAGATTAATATAAAAATACGATCATATAAATTTCACAAGATGATACTGATACTTGTACCCTTCTCAGTTGAAATTGAAAAAATCAAATTAACTTCTCCACACGTATTTCGTAAAAGTAAAGGCCTTAACAGCGGAGAACAATGCTTAACTCAAATAACGCAACTTAATTGTATTCTGGTTGGTCTTCCGTACTTTATAATTACAGTCCGATTATAAACACAAAATTACATTTCTTAATTACTGCGGATCTTCTGATTAGTCAAAACGATACAATTTACAACGCGCTAAAAAAGATCTATCTCATAGGGACACTTACGAAAGCGGATGCGGCTTTTAACTAATTTTATAATATTAATTAAAGAAATAACAAATAATTGTATTAAAAATTCATTTTACATTGAAAAAATTTTTTGCTTTCAGAAAATATTGTCCATATTCATAAAAATAACTAAAAGCAAATAAAAGCATTTGAAATTAAATAATATCTTTGTTTTATTGAGTTTTGTATGTTACAATTCAGAGCTGATTTTCAGGTAGTGGTGGGGGTCCAATTAAAAAAAAATGATTTGCATTCCTCAAAGCCCTGTGCTTTTAACTATTGTAATCACTAAACTGGATTCGATCGAATTTCTAGAGTTTTCATAAAATTAGTTATTATCAATAAATATACAAACAAATATTTCTGCCATGACTTTAATAAAAAACATATTTATAATAATTTCCATCATCTATGAATAGTTTCTGAAAGTTTCATTAACATCCAACAATTATTTTTATTTTTGCAAGATTTTCCAAATTAATATGTGATACAAAAAACGTGCTAAAAATTGTATATGTTATTTTACTAGTTCCGGTGATAAAAAGTGAAACAAGGTTTTTTTAATCAAAATTTAGAATGTTCTAAAAAGAAGCAAAAATTTAAAAAAATAATTAAAAAAAAACTTTGGTCTTTCCTCTTCATAATAACATAAACATTTAGACGATATAATTTTGTTTTCGTTAAGTTCGGCGTCTTTTTCATCATGCTATGCTCTTTTTTTTAGCGATCTCATGGAGTTACTTAAATAATTGTTTTCTAGTAAACAACTACTCTTGTTAAATTGTCTGTCAGTGTTGTTATTTTCATTATAACTGAATTAAAATATCGGCATATACGTTGATTTAGGTATATCGTAATTATTTCTAAAGATACTTATTATGAATATACAATATTTATGCACAAATATCAACGTGCCGGTCTATGTGGGCGGGGATACTTTTTTCGAAGCCACATTTGATTATAACAAATTATTTCTTGTTTACCGTTTTTGTTGATGTTTTATCTACTATTCGAAAATAGCAAAGATTTCGAATGGTACTTAAACTGTTATAGAAGTCATTTAATAATGTCATTCTTGAAGACGCTGTACACGCAAAATTACGCCGTTCCACACGCTCGCATACAAAATAAAAGATTTAAATGGGATGGGTCCATTTTATTGCTAATTTGAATTATGGCAGCAAACACACTTTGAAATTCTTTCCTGAATAAATATGGATGAAGGGCTCTGTATGTACTTTTTCTTAAAAAAAACCTTTTAAGTGAAGCCGGCAGATCTCAGAAACAAAATCTTCTTTATGGATAATGACTTCATGATTACATCCAATTTTATCAAAGTAATTATATGCATTCCAACCGTCAATTATAATTGTATTATCAAGATGTATTCGTTTTCGTATCAGTTTTTTCTAGAGATTCTTTGGTTTGAAAAAATAATTGTACATTCCTTTGAATTCTTTCAAAAAGATACTTGTTAAATCACTTCTTTCCTCGATTATATTTTCTACGCATAATCAAGGTCTCATCGATCTCCACTACAGTTCCAGGACAATCACTGTTTTTTCTCTCGGTATAATGGCAATACAAATGTCGAGGAAACCTGAACCAGTCTACAATTGTATAATTTAAGTAATTATATATCTAATAATATCTGCCACGAGGATTAATTCTTGTATCATAAATGCATTGGTATTAACATTTTCCAAATACCTGTTGCGGCGTTAAGCAGGTGCCTGTTAACCCCACAAGCAGAAAAATAATGTAGGGTAATACGATCGAAGCAAGGACAACAAAGGCGAGGATGTAAAAGTTTAAGCCAAATTTTATTTAATAATCTGGCAAAAGTATGTACAGATAATTGTTTGCTGGAGTTCGGTCGTGAAGTTAGAGAGTGTCAGTTGAAAGAGCGTTGTCAGGTTTCAAGGCGACAGCTCAGAGGAAGGCCGAATGGAACAGCGATGTCGGGGTCCAGTCGATCCCCGTATGTCTGCTCTTTTGTAAAGAGCGCGTCGGCGCTTAAGAAGAGAGAGGATCGACGCGGACGGCGCTGGTGAAGTCTGTTCGTCCTAGGTATGACAGTCGTGCAAGAACTGGCCATAGCATGTCCAAGCTGGTCAGGATTAGTCAAAGCCTGTCCTGGCCGGAGTCAGTCCAAGCTAGTCGTAGCCGTGATCGAATCTCAGCCAAAGTCGAGAAGCGATCCGAACTCGGCAAAATTCGCCGAGGATATTTACTTGACTCCCACGGGATCAGGATGTGACACAAGGTCGGTTTAACGTGGGAGGCCCGAGTGTTTCCACTAAAGAGCCACTGGTCCAAAACTGGTCATAGCATGTCCAAGATGGTCAGAGCTTAGTCAAAGCTGGTCATGGCTTGTTCTAGCAGGTCCAGGCCGGAGGCAGTCCATGCTATTCGTAGCCGAGATCGAATCTCAGCCAAAGGTCGAGAAATGAACCGAACTCGGCAAAATTCGCTAAGAGGAGTAATTCATCGAGGATATTTACTTGACTCCCACGGGGTCAGGATGTGACACAAGGTCGGTTTAACGTCGGTTACCCGAGTGTTTCCACTCAAGGGCCACTGGTCCAAAACTAGTCATAGCATGTCCAAGCTGTTCAGAGCTTAGTCAAAGCTGGTCATGGATTGTCCTAGGTGGTCCAGTCCGAAGCCAGTCCAAACTTTGTCGTAGCCGCGATCGAATCTCAGCCAAAGGCCGAGAAACGATCCGAACTCGGTAAAATTCGCCAGGAGACGAAATTCGTCGAGGATATTTACTTGACTCCCACGGGGTCAGGATGTGACACAAGGTCAGTTTAACGTGGGAGACCCGAGTGTTTCCACTCAAGGGCCACTGGTCCAAAACTGGTTATAGCATGTCCAACCTGGTCAAAGCTTAGTCAAAGCTGGTCATGGCTTGTCCTAGCAGGTCCAGGCCGGAGCCAGTCCAAGCTAGTCGTAGCCGTGATCGAATCTCAGCCAAAGGCCGAGAAACGATCCGAACTCGGCAAAATTCGCCTAGAGGCGAGATCCGCCGAGGATATTTACTTGACTCCCACGGCGTCAGGATGTGACACAAGGTCGGTTTAACGTGGGTGACCCGAGTGTTTCCACTCAAGGGCCACTGGTCCAAAACTAGTCATAGCATGTCCAAGCTGTTCAGAGCTTAGCCAAAGCTGGTCATGGATTGTCCTAGGTGGTCCAGTCCGAAGCCAGTCCAAACTTTGTCGTAGCCGCGATCGAATCTCAGCCAAAGGCTGTGAAACGATCCGAACTCGGCAAAATTCGCCAAGAGACGAAATTCGTCGTGGATATTTACTTCACTCCCACGGGGTCAGGATGTGACAAAAGGTCGGTTTAACGTGGGAGACCCGAGCGTTTACACTCAAGGGCCACTGGCCCAAAACTGGTCATAGCATGTCGAAGCTGGCCAGAGCTTAGTCAAAGCTGGTCATGGCTTGTCTCTTAGCTGGTCCAGGCCGAAGCCAGTCCAAACTTTGTCGCAGCCGTGATCGAATCTTAGCCAAAGGCCGAGAAGCGACCGAACTCGGCAAAATTCGCAAGAGGCGAAATTCGCCGAGGATATTTACTTGACTCCCACGGGGTCAGGATGTGACACAAGGTCGGTTTAACGTGGGAGACCCGAGTGTTTCCACTCAAAGGCCACTGGTCCAAAACTGGTCATAGCATGTCCAAGCTGTTCAGAGCTTAGTCAAAGCTGGTCATGGATTGTCCTAGGTGGTCCAGGCCGAAGCCAGTCCATGCTATTCGTAGCCGAGATCGAATCTCAGCCAAAGGTCGAGAAACGAACCGAACTCGGCAAAAATCGACAGGAGGAGAAATTCGTCGAGGATATTTACTTGACTCCCATGGGGTCAGGATGTGACATAAGGTCGGTTTAACGTGAGAGATCCGAGTGTTTCCACTCACGAACCACTGGTCCAAAACTGGTCGTAGCATATCCAAGCTGGTCAGAGCTTAGTCAAAGCTGGTCATGACTTGTCTTAGCTGGTCCAGTCCGAAGCCAGTCCAAACTTTGTCGTAGCCGCGATCGAATCTCAGCCAAAGGCCGAGAAACGATCCGAACTCGGCAAAATTCGCCAAGAGACGAAATTCGTCGAGGATATTTACTTGACTCCCACGAGGTCAGGATGTGACACAAGGTCGGTTTAACGTGGGAGACCCGAGTGTTTCCACTCAAGGGCCACTGGTCCAAAACTGGTTATAGCATGTTCAAACTGGTCAAAGCTTAGTCAAAGCTGTTCATGGCTTGTCCTAGCAGGTCCAGGCCGGAGCCAGTCCAAGCTAGTCGTAGCCGTGATCGAATCTCAGCCAATGTCGGTTTAACGTGGGAGACCCGAGTGTTTCCACTCAAGGGCCACTGGTCCAAAACCGGTCAGAGCTTAGTCAAAGCTGGTCATGGCTTGTCTCAGCTGGTCGCGATCTGGTGGAAGAAATCGGCTGTGTTTATATAGGCTGAGATCAGCATCGTAGCCGGTTAGCGATATCTTTGAGGTGATGACTAAAAATTACCTTCTGCCTTTTGACTGTACACCTGGGTTTTCATTCGGACACTATGAGTATATAAAGTAGTTTCTGGTAATTATTTTTAGTTAGGAAGGCTCGTTTATGTTAATGTTTCGTTTGTTTTGAGTTTTTGTGAGTCGTTGTTTGAAAAACGCTGAGTCACCGGAAGTTAACGGCATTCGTTCTGTTTTCCGCGGTGACGCTTTTAGACGTTTTTTGAGTAGCCAGCAGCAACTTCCGGCCGGGTGCGATATACCCATTTTAGAATTCGAAATGAATACTTCCCTAATGTTATCTTTTTCCTGCATGCTTTCAAAGAGTGGCTTAAATGAATGAACCTATCAATGTTATTGTTTTATTCATATGGACACCACATATTCATTTTTCTCTCTAAAGATATTCATTTGTGTTACTCGTTTCTTTAATTAAAACCAAATACAATGGCTGAAAATAAAACTTCATCAACTTAAAGGAAGAATTTGACCTGATTACACTATATGCATGTAAGGGCGTTAATAAATAAAGCTTTTAAAGCCCACAGCCATGTTGGGTCATGTAAGCTGCGATAAAATTCCGATGCGGCGAAAGAATTCAGTGTAATCAAATATCATACCACGGAAATGAACACGTGATATCTTTTGTCTATTAGAGCTTTTTAAAAGGGTAGGATTGTGGTCATTTGAGAGGCTGGTTGATCATTTAGAAGAATTGCTGCACATGTTGTACGGGGCGTGCTGTTTCGATGTTGGCAACAATGATTAAGTAAATGTTCCTATTATTAAATAAATGTTATACATCCATAGATCAGATTCTGGACGGCCACGGAGTAAGACGCTCGCCATCATCAACGCATTGTAAGAGCAACAGCAGTAGAATATACGGCGTACAGAGAACAGAAAAAAAGTACATGCAGTCCCAAGTGCGTCAACAGAAACTGTTGTTTACTTCCAGCAGCATTATAGACAAGAGTACCTTTTGCCAGACTTCCAATTACGCAATAACAAATGCAAAATATGTTGATAATTGCAGTGGGTGTAAAGAATGTTAAGTTATTGGCGAAACGTATATGGCATAATATATATATATATATATATATATATATATATATATTTTTTGTGTGACGATAGCAGTTCTACTTTTTGCTCTTTTTCCTCAGCTATGGTCTTTCCTTCGAAGCATCCTGATACTTAATGTCAAATAATGCCAGACACGATCAACTCTGTACGGCATTATTTGAGATAGCTGGAGTAGGGAAAGCTAACAGAAAAGATGGTAATAGATTATTTTGACCAACTTCAGTATTCTCAAAATATTTACTTTCGCTCACTATAAAAACAGTTATTTCCTATATAATTTAAAATCATTGTAGTTGTATACATTAAAAGGAACTTTCATTGGTTTAAAATCAGGATTATTGTTCATCAGGAAGTAGAAATGATTTTAACAACTTGTGGTTCTTAAACGTGAATATTTTAACCCTTTATGCTTAATAATTCTAAATTATTTGATACTGTATAATGTCAAAATATCTTAACACTACTTTTGTTGAAAATGTTATTTCGAATATTAGTGTAATATTAATACAGCAACTTCTTTTTAATCATTTAAAAATGTGATAGAATATGCATAAAGCCATTTATACTGACATAATTGACTATAAAGTGTTACATAATTGGCAATAAAGGCAATTTTATTTGTTGTCATATATATATATATATATATATATATATATATATATATATATATATATACCTTGAATAAGTTTTCGCTGATTTTCATGTAAAGTAATGTTTTATTTACAAAAATTAGTAAAAAACATCTCACTAAAAGTATTGTCCATCGCTATCCACTACCTTTTTCCCATCTTTTTGGCACCATTTGAATTCCACGTTGGAAAAACGACACGTCTTTTGAGGCTAAGCATGAGTCAATTCATTTTTGGCATCTTCATAAGATGAAAGTGCTGCTGAGCTAGGCCATGTGTCATCGATCGGAACAAGTGATAATCAGACAGGGCAATATCTGGTGAATACGTAGGGTGGGGTAGGGTTTCTCATTTAAGCGTTTCCAAGTAGGTTTTGTGGCCTATTGTTGTCATGTTGCAAAATCACTTTGCCGTGTTTCTGCTAGTACAGCGGCCGTTTTTTCTTTAATGCTCGGCTCAAACACATCAATTATAGTCGATGGCGATCTTTTGTGATGGTTTCGGTCGGTTTGAGCAGCTCATAATAAACTATACCCAGCTGATCCAACCAAATGCCGAGCAGAAGATTCGAACCATGGATATTCGGCTTTGTCGCCGATGTTGATGCATGGCCTGGCTTAACTCACGATCTTCTACGCTTAGGGTTATTGTAGTATATCAACTTTTCATCGCCGGTCACGATACGATGCAAAAAAATTTTCTTTTTCTGCCGTTGAAGCAGCTGTTCACACGTGACAATACACCGTTCGACGCTTCTCGGCTTCAACTCGTACGACACACAATGTCTTTGCTTTTGAATAATTCCTAATGTTTTAAAATATTTCTAAACTCTTGTGTGATTAATTAATTAATTATTCTGTAAATTCAGC